AAAACCCACAATCATCCAGCCTCCAAAGCCCACTTGATGTGAGGCTCGAGGTTGCATGCTTTTATGATTTTTATGTTCATCGCCTTTTCCCAACCATATCCAACCATGCTTGACCCCTAGGCCCTGATGATTTTCCAACTGGTTGATGGGATCCTGGGCGCACGTGCTTCGGCCATTCCCAATGCACGGCAAGCGATCATCCACAATGATGTCGCGCCAGCATCCTCCCAGCCACAAGCGCACCAAATAAACCTGGAGATGGAATGAATTGGAATGACATGGATGTTTTTGGTCAGAAAAGGTTGGGCCACTTGGGTTACTTGGGTACCTGGAACATGGCCATGAGATGCCATGAGTATGTTATAGTTGAATTATGTTCAATTCATTGGCAGAAGACTCATGTCATATGTCGCGACTCTGTGACACCGCTTTCTTGACATCCGAGCTTTGCACCCCAGCTTCGTCAAAGTTCTGCTCCGGCAACAGCCTCACTGCCAAGAGCCAAGTGCCACAGTGCCATAGTCAAAGCCGGTCTCACTGCCGGGCTTGGCAGGCCGGCAAGACTGTGCAGTGCTTTAAGCTGTTGATTCAAGGCTGGTATGGCATGTCACATATATGAGATATGATAAAACATACATGAAGATAAAGTGCTCCCTTGGTCACTGCACAACTCAGCTTTCAGCATCTTTTGCGCATTCATTCGTCGCTCTGGCCCTTTGCCGCTTCCAGGGCTCTCTTGAAAAGCACGTTTTTCGAGACTACGTCCGCGGAGCTGCCATTCCACATCCACATCTGCCTGTGAACATTTCTCAAAATTCTCAATGCATCTCCCCAAAAAAAAGCATCTGAAAGAACATCTAAATCCATAAAGACATTTTTTGTTACTAGCAGCCTGGACATCTAAAAAGGACGTGCATGGCTACGTCGGAAACGCTGGCCGAACCCAATTGGTTCAGGCGCGAAGAAAAAATGTATCGTCTGAACGCTGCGCGACTTTGGCACCCTGTCACGAGTGACACTTCATTCAGCGAATATCAGCAAGCCAGATCATCACGTCTGGGAAACATGCCTCATTTGGTCCTGCAAAAAGATCTAAGAGCTCATGTCCACAGTCTCTCCCTCCTAGGGTCCTAGGGCCTTTAAAGGTCTTTAAGGGTCTTTAAGGTATCATGTCGAACAGGAGGCCTGTTTCCACTCATACTGTCACATGAAATTAGCAAATCAGGAGCCATTGCTCCCGCAGCCAGCATGGCCATGCAATTTGGATATGACAAATTATGAAAACACTGGAGTCTAATGTGGTTTATATGTGTGTTTATGATTATATCAGCAACTCTTTGCCATAAATTAAAACGATGTCCCAAGATGAAGCCGGACGATCATATGGTCACAGCTTCTCAAATTGGCGCGCTTCAGGCTCTGCGGAAAATCTGATGATCAGAAAATGTTGCTTCATCCGCTGCTTCTGCTCTTCGTTTACCACTTTCCATCATTTTTCATGGCTCTTCATTGCCTGCCACACATGCAAGATCTGACCGCAAATCTGTCATCCCCTCTCCTATATCAAGACCCCTGGAATAAATGCTCGTTTAGTATTGACATATATTGAAAATTATTGAAATGCATTTCGGGGGCCCAATCTGCAATCTGGGGGACAGTTTCATACTAGGGGAATGGGACTGAGAAGATATGTTATATATATACATGATGCACGCATGTCATGTCATATCATATCCTGCCTGCCGTTGCATCTTCACAAGGATTGTGCAAAGCAAGAAGACAGCCTCGAAAAGCTGCAAGAGGGGTCGCAAAGATCCAACAAACTTTCACGGAAGGACATGTGGTGTTCTTTTGGACAAATACCCTCTGGTAATCAAACATTGCAATTTAAAATCCCCTATAAATGGAGGTTTTAGTAGGAAAGTAACCTATATATATGGGTAATTTTCTATTGCTATGCTTGATCACTAGAGGGCAAGTTCTTTTTTAACAAACTAACCTTTAGATATCTTCAACCAACATTTTTGGATGCATTTGGATTGGTCGGACAATGTTTTTCCGAATCAAAAGAAGTTCTCGCTGCATATCTATGTCAATTCATGGCTGGATTGGCTTCTGATTTCAACTGATTTCACCTTGCTGCCACCAGGTAGCGGTAAACAAATGCATGAGCAAAAAGAATCGTGCGGCGATCACCCGGGACCAGCCATCGAAAAACCGTTCCTCGCAGCACATCAATACCAAGGATTTTTTGTGATTTGTTAATTGTTTTGACAGTCCAACTGACCTGATCAAGAATTCTGTGGGTTGGAAGACCAGGATATACCAGGATTCAACCCCTGATTTAGATGATTAAGTGATATCATGTGATATCAAATGCCCAGTTTCCTGGTATCTTTCCTTTAGCCAAGTGCGATGGCAAAAATTGGGGCAAGCTCTTGCATTCATAGTTTCCTCAAAGTGAGTTGCGAGTCTGAGATCGACGTAGCCTTAGTCTCCACTGTCTGCAGCTCCGCAAATGGCAAGAAAATCACGGTTCAATGGATTTGTCAAATGGAAAATCTACGGGAAACCATAATTATTTTTACCACCAGATATATATGGGTTCCGGGTTTCCTGTAGATGTTCCCTTAAACCAATCCAATGGATGTTACATGAAATTCTGAGAAGCAACGTGTCACGACGCTGGTCAGGTAAAAACCATTGCCCGAGATCATCGTAAGCACCATGCCCAGCCAAGCCCTTAGCATCTTCGACACTGACTGGAAAGGTTTTGACACTTTGCTCACCAAGATAGTCGCACTCAAGCAGCTCATTGAATGGAATGTGTGTGTGTGTGCGTGTGTGTTCAGTCGCAAAGCTTTGACAATAAAGAATGTGAACATGTGTGAACATTCAAAAAATGTCCAGTGCCCAGCAACATTCAGCCGACCTCCGTGCACAAAAATCCGTGCAGCCAAGCCTCTGACGAACCTGGTGTGAAGTCCTGCGCTTGGGAGATGTGCCGATGCCATAGTTGCTATCATCATTTATCATATAATCACATGTATTAATTATATAATATATGTATATAAGTACACACGATATATGCACAAGTTTAAAATATATCAGTAAAACATGGAAATATCATCAAATGTCGATAACTGCTGATATAATCATGTGATTACTCAACTGTTACTACTGTCACTATGATGATTCTTACCGTCATTGTCGTTGGATTGTCACCTCGAAGAGCCCACCAGCGCACCGAATTGAGATGTCAACAGAAAGATTTCCTCAGCACGGTGCGGCCCACAGAGGGAGCTTTTCCATGGCTGGCTGGAAGAATTTCAAGATATAATTTTAATGATTTTAATGATCCAAATGGTGTTAGATGGAAAATCAAGGGACCATAAATTTGCATAAATTTGCCACTTGTTCTTTTTTTGTGCATCCACATGCAATGAATTGCAGGAAATCCATGGTGGCCCCCAAGCCAATGCAGGCACGCTGCTATTGCAAAATTGACGTGTTTTCCTTTGAGGATATTGTTGTAGTAGAGGAACCCAACCTCTGAAAGGCAGTGGTTATAGAAATCCCATGTGTGCAACTGCATGGCCCACTGTGACCAGGTGAACAGCCAACAAACGAAACAACGCATGTGCAAGAGCCATCATCGCTCTCCAGCCTCTCTTGCAGAGATAGTTCGGTCTCCAATCTTCAAAGGTGTGTCCCAGTGAATCAAGAAGTCAAAGCAAAGGTCGATTAGCTCACAGCCAATGGCCAGTCCAATCACAACCTGCAGGGCGAATGGGTACTTGCATGTACTTGCGTAGAAAAATCTTGCTTGGAAGATCTTGGAAGAGCATCTTCTAAGATTCTAATATCTTCTACATAGCCCACACGTGGGGATGCTGTCATGAGTCATGAGTCACTGAGTCGCCCAGTCAAGTGCGCTTAGATGCGCTAAACGCAGACCTGGACCTGGCAAGTTCATAGTCGCTGCGGCGCAATAAAGGTCCACATTTTGTGCTGGCCAGCTCTATAAAATTAATCACCTGCTTTAATATTATTCATGATCTGTGACTGATTCATCCATCTGCATGAGGACGAGCTATCTGAATTCGATTCGCTCGCACTGGTCCGAGTTCATTGGCATCGATGGCGGCACTCTAAGCTAGTGCCTAGCGGCTTAGCGCGAGTTTCTCGCGGGATAGCCTTACATAGCCTTACGGTTACGCTTACGGATTTTGCGACGGTGACATCTCCACTATCTATACATATAATCAATGATTATGCTTAGCTTGCAGGGTCTCTGATAGCACTGTGCTAGCGCTGGACTAGCACCACCATGGGGGCGTTTTCGTATGGCGATCATTGTCCCAGGCCACGACTTTGTGATCCATAGCATGTATGGATACATGAGTTTGTCCAGGTACCCCACAATTGAAATTTGATTGTCTATCATGGTTTACCATGATTTACCATGGATCTATATGGTCAGGGTTCAAGTTCATTGCATTCCATCAGGCTTCTCACGGTTGATCAGCATATATCACCATGTTTCATCAGTTGGGGGTTTCCATGGGTTTCCTAAGTCATCACTCTGGATGGTTTAAGAATGGCTCATGGAAAATCCCCAGTGATCATCCACCTTTTTTTGCCCCTTCGGTAGCACCAAGGTACCAGTCCCAGAGCGGCCACCAGTGTGGGATCGAGCCGTGGACTGAGGAGAGGAAAACACACCTGGGATACGGCCACCCCTGATGGTCACGGAAATTCGTGGGGATATTTTGGGATACATATCATAATGTTATGTATATAAATATAAAATATAAATATAAATATATAACATAATATGTTACATAATATGTGTACTGGATAATGTTACGATATATTATATTACGATATATTATGTATAATATCAAATTTATTATGCATGTACAATATACAGATGACCAACTTGATGCAGTATTATTTGGGTGTGTCTGAACATGAATGAAAATGGTGGATCAAACATGATCTAACCCCCCCAATGGCCATTTTAGATGGTAAGACTGACAATAATCTAAGGATATCTAAGGATTTGGGAAGTACCCTATTTTCAGACAAGCCCAAATGGATCCAAATGGCTAGAGGTTAAGAAAATTTAAGAAATATATCAGTGTCGCCAACACTGAAAACACCACCTTCAACCCACATTTGCTCTGCTCTCTATGGCTCATTTCTTGTCAAGATTTCTCAATAAGGGAACCTAAACAAGATAAACAAGGCCAACATGATTCCAAGATGTAGCCTTGTCGTTGATTACAGCATATTCCACTGCTATATCCTGCTCTCAAACAAAGCTCTTGAAAGTTCTCTGCAGCTCAGCCACCACGTGAGCAACCATGCAAATCACTGTGTCTGCCTGCAGTGGTTCCGGCGCAAGTGGTACTCAAAGACATGGAACATCACCGTCTTTCATGAGAAGATATCTATAAATGACATGTTTCATAACATTTTTCATGACTATATGATGCATCTAAACGGGGGCTGTCCGTTGCAAGGCTACATAAAGTATATCAAGTTCACCTTGACCAGCGATTGTCTCTTGGCGCCAAGAGACGACATCAACCTGTAGAAGAAAGTGTGAGAAAAGCGCGAATCCCACCAGCGAGCTAATCCAACAAAGCCTTGGAGATCGAGATGTGACATGTGGGATGGGTCAAGAACACCTATATCCCATAATGGGAATCCTTTAGAGACTTAAATGGTTGGTTAAACAAGTATATTTATAAATGTATGAATATTAATATAAATATATTTATTATATATATATATAATGGATTCATGACCATCCTCCTTTTATGCGAAAACAACCCGTCTGTTGACCATGGGACATATATTTCAACACATCTGTGTATCATTTTGTATCAGTTCTGGCGGATGAACATCCATTGAATCCATTTTGCACCTATTCTGGTGTTCACCATCTGGAAACGACGTGCTGAAAAGTGCATTGCGTACCAGGACACAACAAGTGCGTCTCTGGAAAGAGAGGCCTTGTGACACCTTGGTGATGCCCAACTGATCCTACAGTGGATTGTCATGGAATGTCATGGATCTGAGCATTAAAGATTGCCAACCCAAGGTGCCCGGTCAGCTCCCTTGGTAAACCACCCTGCTTGTGTCCCAGCGACTTTTCGGTGCACCCACTGACATCACAACCACCGGGTTTTTCAGCTCGGGTGGCTCCCATTTGATTCGTGCTCAATTGCTGCGGATATCCATGGACCCTGCCGACTTGGGGATTGGAATTGCTAGACTACTGTCCTCTAAATATGTATACATATGTACATATCAAAAAGTATAATAATTAATTACTTATTATAAACTATGTATATATATATAATTATATATGCAGATACAGTCGAGACAGTAGAAATATATAAATCAAGAAATTAATCAAGATATATTGTCTGAATAAACACGAGACCTGAGGCACTGGCCGCTGCACAAGCCTTCCGCCCTGAAATTCCGCCATCGCGGCCAACGAAGACAAGAACCAACAATCTCCCAGCCTGAGATGCTGCTCAGAACCCCAAGAAGCAGGAATGCAGAGTCCAACTTCGATATAGTAACCCCCAAATTTGCTCCAAAATCATCAAAAAGTGATAAAAAGCACTTAGCATTTTTAGATCATTATGTTTAGATCCTTTAGCAGGAATTTGGTGTTCGTTCTACTGTCGTTTTGTCCCTTTTCGGGGGGTTCTGTAAGCCAACTGGCAGCCGTGGGACTCTCCCTGCTGCACATCATCTGCACGTGGCTGACCGCGAAGAAGCTGCCAGTCCTGAAAAAGGGTGCTGTATCCGAAACACGCTTTTGACTCGACTCTCGCATGAACTCGAAGGCCCATAATGACACTGCCCTGATCTGCCCTGCATACTGGTGGTGGGGTCAAGGCATCTGAAACTAAAATGGGATGATGGCAAAGATTCTGGTCGAAGGTAAACCAAAGCCAGCACTCAGAGATCCAACTTTGGGGATAACATGGGATAACACACAAGAAGTCTGCGTGGAGTTGGAGGAATTTTAATAGATGGTTGGTTGAAGATAATTTATAAATGCATCCAGCAACCCAATTGCAGTCCTCCCTACGCCACAATACTCTCCCATCATGGGCGCCAATTTCATGCGGCCTGCACCACTTTGTGACACGACCTTAGTGCATCACTAATTAGCAGGCTCTCAGAGGACTACAGTCCCAACATGTGGCAGCTGATGTAGCTTGACATACCCTCCGGCAATCAAACATGGCAATGGAAAGTTCCCCAATTCATCGATGATTTCCACCCAAAAAAACAGTTGCAACCTCCATTTTGTTCGGGGATTTCCCGGCTAGCAGTGTTTGATGGTCGGATAAACAATCCCATCTTTAGCTCCACACCGACGTGTTGTGGTGGAAAGCTGTCATCAATAAACTGTTGCCCACGATGAGATGAACGCAAGGCATGAAGTTCGCCAAGTCTGGCACGGTGCGTCCCGTTTCAAACTAGTTGGGTGGGAAACAAACAAATGTGTATAAGTTTAGGTATAACCATGATAATCCCCAGCTGGGATATGATATAGCTAATAAACCCCATAAAATCATAAGTGTCCATAATTAAGTATGATAACATAAGCACTTGTAAGCGGAACTGCGCCCCCAAGTTAGAAGATTCTAGAAGATTTATCAAGATTCTAGAAGCACATTTTATGGCGATCAGGCCCGGTCTCGTTGATGACTTTTATGAATGCAACCGCGGGCCGGTGCTGTATTCGTTCATTCTTCCTCCCTGTAGAGGCTTACCCGGGTGCGCGGGCGGTGTGACAACACAGCCGCACAAATCTGCAGCCATACCATGTCCCGACTGACTCGATTGACCACCCTGAATCTTCCCAACAGCACTCTGCACATGGTGGTCATACTCCGCCATATCCAACAAGATTCCTTGTAGGTAGCGAGTCTCAACCTCTGCAGGTAAGTATAGCCCCGAGGCTATGTCCTTTGCAAACATGCAGCGGATGACACTTGGAGACACATGGTGTACAATCCAGGTTTGAGCTGTGAGCGGCAGCCAGCAGTTGTTTGGATGGCTTTCCTCTGTACAGCACTTTGCGTCCATTGCAAAATGAAGTTCGTCGCGATCATAGAGAGTTATTGATGTGACTGCCCTGTCGTAAATCAGCTGCCACAAATAGAAACCGTATGACACATCCTCCACCTTCCAGATGATTTTTTGGGGGGAAAGCTTCGAGAAAATAAGTCATCAGGCATTACCTAGAATTGGCCAATATGAAATATTTCCGGAGACCAACTTCTATAATATCCACATTGCATCACATCTGGCATCCTATGGCATCCTATGGCATCCTATGGCATCCTATGGCATCCTCTAGCTTATTCCCCAAACGATGAGGCTTCAACTTCAACTGCCACGTGGCTCCCTGGCATCCAGCCTTGATTTTCTTGAGAGGCCGCTTCTCCTCCTCCTCTGCAATGAGTCGAACGAGGTCCATTGACATTGCCAGCCCTGCGCCCCGAGCATAGGGTGGAAACACCGGTTCCGGCCAGATCTCCGGCGCCGTGTAGTGCGGATCCGACACGTCACGAATCACCAGGCCACTGTAATCGAAAGCACCCCAGTACAGCTCAGCTCGCTGAATCCCGGAGAGTCGGCTCAGGACTGAATGCGGTCGAACATATAAGTCGTCATCAAATTTCAACCAGAACTGCGCATCCGAATGGTGCGCCACCCACAGCAAAGCTGCTAAGCCCTTCTTTCCAATGGGATACTCGTCAGTCGTCCCAATCAGGAAGACCATGTCATCAAAGTAATCTCTTTCGCGACGCAAAAGGTGATCGAGTTCACTGTCATCGACAGCAGTGCCTGCAAGAAAAAACCTGTAGGGGATACCATGAGCTTTGAGAATTGGAAGCCACGTGTCCCGTAACGCCATGCGTCTTCCAAAGTTCTTCTTCGCAGAGTATATAGACACAAAAGCCTCAGCTGCAGAGATCGCCTCAAGGCTTGCTTTTCAACAGAAGCTGCAAACATTTGACAAACCGTCTGAACAAGGGTGACAAGCTCGGCACACCGCATCCGGCGGATTGTTCAATATCATAGCTGTTACATCTCTGCAATCTTGTCATGAAGCATTGCTCGAATCTGTGCAAAAATCTGAGACCCCCAAATGAAGTGCCTTGCCTTGTGCAGGGTAAGGCCGTTAAGAGAAATATCCAAACTTGAACCACTCAAAACATACCACCCCACCCCGGAAAATTGAACAGAGCTGCGAAAAGCTGGATTCAGGGACAGACCTGGATAGACCATTTAAGCCTGGGCACAAGTGGAGGTTGTGGGCTTCTGAGTGCATGACAAGCCATGGCTGCATGACGCTGCAATCTTTGTCGGAAGGGATGCTTGTACCTGGTGGTTTCACAGGACGGACAAGGTGGGAAAGTAGTCGGATTTTAGAGAGGAGCCCAGAACAATGAAGACAAATTGGGTCATTTACAGTCAATTCTATTGGCACGGTTTATTCGTTAATTGTGTTTATTTGCGATATGTTTACTGGCAAGAGGATGCAAGAGGCACCTTCAACCGAATTCCAACCCATACTCGTTTCGTTCTACGTTGTTCCCTCCGCCTCATGTAGAAGAACTCTTGCACGATCTTGACTGAGTTGGCGTACACATACAAGGCGTCCGCAGGTGCAGTGAGCATGAAAGAAATCGCTTGCTCCACTGAAAAGTCTCGGAACTTTGCGATGGCAAAGGAAAAATATCGAGTGTAATCCAATTTGTGATGTTTCCCCACAATAATGGGCACAGTGCCATGGGCTATGCAATCAATGAGGCTCTGCGGAGGAACCCCAGTATCTTGGTCCAGAAGTAGCAGTGCCGTAAACGTAAAGTTTGCAAAGGCACGGTTTCGAGTGATGAAGGTTCCGTCATCGATAAAGTAACTCGCTGGCATCATGACCTTGACATCTTCAAATGCTTGCTGAAGCCAGCCTGTGTTGGCAACTGCCGGCAATAGCACCTTGGTGTGCCAAAGGCAAGTCGAAACAAATCGAACTGAGATGCCCAAACCCTGGCCCTGGCATTTGACAACTCCAGTTGTGTCTGTCGCAAATGTCGCAGTGAGGTGACTAAGGCAGTGACAGACATACCCTCCCTTCGCCACTCGAGGGGGGCAGCCTCTTTCAATTGGGCCAGTTCTCGCGACATGTCGCCCAGGGCGAAATCCCGGTTCTCCAAGAAGTAGAGTTTTCCTTGTGCTTCAAGCCACGGGACCATCTGAGCATCATCAGTCATGATGATGTCCTGATGATACTGGCTCCAAGCTGACCACCAAGCGCAAAATTCCCAGAATCAGTGACTTTCGTCTGCTGGCCATCAATCAAACTCTGGGACTCACATGTCAATCAATGGATTGTGTAAATCTGCAAATCATGGATTTTCCTACGAAATATGGTGGTCCCTTAAAACAATCCATTGATGCAAACTAATCTCAAACAGAGCAGCAAAGGCATCTGCTGGCCCAGGCAGCTGCTGAGAATTGCCCAGAACAGTGGGCCAATGCAGAACTCGGCATGCATCAGGCGTCGCATGTGCCTCACCCAAGACAGTTAAAGCCAAGAAAAAATATGCAGATAGAGAAGAGAAGAGAAGAGAAGAGACGAGACGAGACGAGACAAGACGAGACAAGACGAGACGAGACGAGACGAGGAGAGGCGAGGCGAGGCGAGGGGAGGGGAGGAGAGGAGAGGATAGATAGATAGATAGATAGTGCTATGTAATGTATTTAATACACGTAATGTATGTAGTGTATGTAATGCATGTAATGACATGTAATGTACGTAATGTACGTAATGTACATAATGTAACGCGGCATGTAATGTCTGCGATGTCTGCGATGTCTGCAATGCCTGTGATGCCTGTGATGCATGTAATGCATGTAATGCATGTAATGCATATAATGCATGTAAATGTAGTGAACTGTCATGCAGTGTAACGTGTAATATTGTGTGATATTATGTAATATAATTATATTATTTCCGTCTTATCTATCTATAAATTAATCTGTGTTCTTTCTTTCTTTCTTTCGTTCTTTCTTTCTTTCTTTTCTTTCTTTCTTTATTTTTTTCTTTCTTTTTTTCTTTCTTTCTTTCTTTCTTTATGTTCTTTCTTCTCCTATCTATCTATCTATCTATCTATTCTATTCCTATCTACTGTAGCATGCCTGTATCTATGTATTTATGTATGTTTGCATGTATATGTGTTTGTTTGTTTGGATATATATAATCACATGTGATTGATTTAAACGAAATAGCACTGTAAGAACACCAGCTAAGTCGTCCCTTGACCGTGGCATTTTTGGCCTTGGAGAAGTTGATAGCATCATAGATTTCCACTCTGCGAGCTGACACCGCTAGCAGCCATGGCAATGTCTTGAGCATGGCATCTCACTTTGGTTTACCAAACACATTTTAAGCGAAGCTTGAGCCATGAAAACAAGCAGAAACCCAAACACTCAACGCTGTCCCGTACTAAGAATGTCATGCCATATATTAGCAATTCGAATTGAAAAATGAACTGCACATCCAAAATGTCCAAAGAATTGCTTGGCGAGGTCTTGATCAATATAATGCCTAGGAAAAAGAACCACCAGTCTATGAAAAATAAGGGGGGCCCACATTTTCGTCGTGACTTATCACGATTTTGGGGGTGACACTTGGTAACCCCTCCAAATAAAGTCTGGGGGTATTCATCCAGGGCTGGCATTAGACTCATTAGTACATTAGATCATTAGACCTTGCCAATCTATCCATAGAAATCCATCTATGAAGCGTCAACTGTGAAGGACCCAGAGACGGCACCCAAAAGTCCGCCTGTCATCTGGGTCCGCTGCATGTCCTCTTTTTGGTGAATTGTATCCTCGCTGCTGAAGATCCAACATTCACATTGATGTGGTGCATCTGTGTGAATCCATATGAATCTGTATGACAATGTCGATGTTGTTAATATTTATTGGTGATTGTCCGATGCAAATGTGGTATGTCAATCCAATGTTGCCGATTTTTTCTGACATGGTCCCGACATTTTCTCGAGACGTCTTGGGCTCTATGAATTTCTATGACTATGATGAATTCTGTGGCAAATCTGACACGTCTCTCTCCATCGCCGTCTGTCAAGACTGCCACACAAACATTTCATGATAGATGTATACTAATGTCACCATGTTTATGGGTGGGATTGAAACCATCCCCAGTCATGGTAGGTTTAGCGTTCAGGGCTTCCCACATTCAAAAGTGATCAGTGTGTATGACCTGGTTTAGTTTTATGATGGTACCAGTCTTATGATGTTACCAGTGTGACCTACGTTTCATGAATTATGATACAGAAATATGATAAGTATGATAAGTATGTATGTATTATGATAAGTAGTTAATAAAAATAGGGTAACTCATAGTACTAAAATGTACTAAATCCATTGGTTCATGGGGCTTCATCTACCAATTTCCCACCTGTCCTGAGGATGGACTGCTTGGATCCAAGGGCGTTCCCGGTGTTCCCGGTTTCCGCAAAAAGGCATGGATGTCACAGGGTCGCACCTCACTTAACGGGACATGTGACATGCATTTGTTATACATACATGCATGCATATATATATATATGTATATATATATATGTTATTAATGATATACAAAGTCAATAAAAAATATATACTTTTATCATTAACTATAATATAAAATGATAGTTTTAGTATAGATAGTTTTAATATAGTGTATATAGATAGATCATACTGGTAGATACGTGACATGATGACACACGTACATATTGCGTTGAAGGCTGCACGACTTGGAGTCGTGACCCGTGCAAGTGCGGCCAGCGCGAAGTGAGGGGTGGGCTGTCATGTCGAACGGAGCGGTGCAATTTCGAACAGTTGAATCGTTTCAAATGTAGAGTTGTGGCTTATGAGACTTCATAACAGTTGTGATTTATATAATTGTAATTGTTAAATTGAGTTGTCATTGTGTTGAATTCCTTTCACTCATCGTATTGGTGACATGCAAGGCTAACATATATTAACGTGTAAAACCATAATATGCATCTATATTGATATATACAGGCATATGCATGGATGTATGCATGGATGTATGCATGCATGTATGCATGGATGTATGTACGCGCGTACGCACCTACCTACTGCACCTACGTATGTGTAGTTATGTATAGTTATCCGGAACGAGTATGTACAGTCATGTATGTAGTTGGCCATGCAGTTGCATATTTATATGTATAAACGAATTTATAACAATACATACATACCATACGGTGCCATGCCATACCACACCACGCCACACAATACCAAACCATACCGTACCATACCAATACCATAGCATACCATACCATATCAATACCATACCATTACAACCATTGAAAACATTACATACTTTGCATACATTCCATACATTGCGTACGTTACATACATTACATACATTACATACATTACATACAATTACATACAGTACATACATTACATACAAAACATACATAACATACAAAACATACAATACATACAAATTATACAAGAGCAACAATACAGACAATACATACAATACATACACAATACATACACAATACATACAATACAATACAATACAATACAATACATACAATACAATACAATACATTCCATTACCTTACATTACATATATAGATATACATATACATTTGTATATATATATATATATATATATATATATATATATATTTAGCGGCGGACAAAAATACATACTTACTACTCGCAATGTACATGGCCAAAGTGGGTGCTCTATCGGTTGTGAGGTTTGTGCTTCCACGCTATGTGTAAAAATAGGGTATCGGTAAGTGGGTGGCCCCCTATCGGTTGTGAAAAAATCAACACAAATTTGAACATCCCAAGTCCAATCCCTACTACTTTAGTCATAAGCTCACTTTGTCGGTCACTCATACTATATATATAAAGATGCATCTGTTCCATTTGTTCCACTCCGCAGCGATTTTGTCAGAAAATTAAATAAAAAACAAAACCTTCTCAGGAAACATCCATCCCCTTTCATCCAGACTCAGGCTATTGCCGGGCCAGACCCCAGGCGACATAGCCACATTTCCTTTAATCCCACCCAAAGTGCCAAGCCATACCTCAGGCCTTCAGGTCCAGGATTCGCATTGGAGGATGTTTCAAAAGGTTAAACTTACAAAAACCGAGCTGCTGCACAAACGTTTGGGCCTTTTGTGGCTCTTTTAGGTCCATGTCTCGTCTTCCTACCCCTCCATCAAGGACAAGCCTCGGGAGGGGAGGGCGGGACTTGAACCACAACACTAGGGAACACATATAACACATATGCATCTTAACCCCCGGGGTCGGGAATACAAAGATGCATCTGTTCCATTTGTTCCACTCCGCAGCGATTTTGTCAGAAAATTAAATAAAAAACAAAACCTTCTCAGGAAACATCCATCCCCTTTCATCCAGACTCAGGCTATTGCCGGGCCAGACCCCAGGCGACATAGCCACATTTCCTTTAATCCCACCCAAAGTGCCAAGCCATACCTCAGGCCTTCAGGTCCAGGATTCGCATTGGAGGATGTTTCAAAAGGTTAAACTTACAAAAACCGAGCTGCTGCACAAACGTTTGGGCCTTTTTTGGCTCTTTTAGGTCCATGTCTCGTCTTCCTATACCACGGCCCCCAGTCCTTCCAGTCTTTAAGACTGGAGGCTCAAGTGTTGAAAAATTTCGTTTCTGGGAAACTTGCGCAAAAACATTCAAATAAGGTTTCAGGTTGGGATCAGATCTGGGCAACTGCATACTCGCAAGCATGCTCAGCCCCTCATTGACGTAAATACGGGCAGTTTTTTGGGAAGCCCATCTTCCTTGGATGAGCAATCGGTCTAGAGATTGATGCTTGGAAAACCAGTACGTCGCGCCCCCACGTCTAAGTGAATACGGGCGAAACTGATAGCTTTCAAGGTGGAGTGCGGAAACGCAGTCATTAAAAAGTTTGCGCCAGTGGGCGGATGATTTCACAAAAGGCGTCGTGGACTGAGCCAGAGACTTCCATTTTTTCACCAACAGAGCAGCCGGTTCAAATCCCAAAATGACGCTTTCAGCGGCACCTTGTCTTTTTCCGCCTTTTGTCAACCCCAAACTGACAACAACTTGTCTATCCTTGCTTCCACAAAAAAGGTGGCTTGATCGGAGCCCTAAGATCTCCCCGGTTCTCAACATGCAGTAAAATCCTACTAATAGCGAGACAGCAAAAGAATTCCAGCCCTTGAAGAACGCCCACCCCGCCATGGCATGAACCACGTGATCAGGGATAGGTGGCGCTCGCGCCGGAATCTCATTGATTGACCAAGTCTTGAGAAGTCTCCACGCCCCTGGTAAATTGTGGCGTAGATCCGGTTGGAGATCCTGAAGCCCTGCCAGAGTGTCGCACGCCTGGGCTCGACCAGCTCCTGTGCTCCACAGGTAGTCCACATAGTCAGCCACCAACCCGTCCAATTTAGACTTCTGTTGGGGTAGCACCAAGTCAGCGTTTTTGAGGTAGGTGAAAAAGTTTTGCACGGCAGCGGCATATCGTTTTTTCGTGGCAGGCTGTACAGTAAGCTCCTTCAGACTCCCTAGTCTACGGCGTTGGGCGGCACGGTCTTGGGGCAGGGCGGCTTCAAGCACCCTTTTTCTTGACATTCCGGAATTTGGATTTCACCCGCTGTCCCCACCTACTAAGGCCAAAGAGTCTGATAGGATTCTAGTTCCTAAGTTCCCTCAACCCGAAAATTATAGGAATTGGAGAATCCGAGTAAGGGATGCCATAATTGCTGCGTCTGCTAAACCCGACCTAGCTTTTCAATGGGTAGAAGAAGTGTTCAGGACAGATCAGTCTGTCGATGCCTTGAAGGACTCAGGTAAATTCGTGACCCTGGACGCAAAGCTCATGTCTTCGCTCACCAACATCTGCGAAGGGGACTTTGCACGGCAACTTGACATTTTTAAAGAGGAACAAGCCAAGTCAGGGACACCAGCTAGGGGACGTCAGGCATTGCTCATGATTCATAAACACTTTAGTACAAGTAGGAAGCATGGTGCAGTGTACGACATTGAGGACCTCATGGCTGTTACCTTAGTCAATGATGATCTCAGAGGTTTCATCACCCGATGGGACGCTGTGATCGCTGGAATGACTTCCGAGCCTGACATGATGTGGAAGCAAGCCTACTTTCACAACGCCATCAAGAACTTCAAGCCTCTCTCTCATGATCTGGCTGTGTATGATCGCACACCGGAGGGGGAACCCAACCGCTCTTATGATTTTCTCATGAAAGCTGCGAGGGACTACCTTGAGAGGAGACGTCTGGAGAAGATGAGACAGGCTACCAAGAAGTCCGTTTCAGGCAAAAGAGATGCAACGC